CTCCCTTTGAGAGTTGTATCGGATTTCCTTCTTGGAGTTATAAGTGCCTCGACCCTCCAAGATCGGTGCATCCTGTATTTTCCCGGTGCGCCCGGTGCGTGCTGGTGAAGACCACCTGTGGTCGGGTCCAAACACCTTTTGGAAGGTGCTGGTGAAGTACAACAATCTTCATACTTTAAGCTGGATGACCTCTATTTTGGACCACCAGCCATCACCATCCACCTAGAATATTGCCTTTTCCTATCAAAACAGGAGTCAAGTTAGGCTCTATTTTAAGCAATACAGGTGACAGAGGAATTATATCCAATATTATAACAGTTTTACATAACTGAAATAACATCACCGAGAAATTGATTAGACACAATTATATTATAGACATAGACACATGCACATATATTATAGCTGAACTTCCATTTTCCATTTGTCGATTTCTCGGGCAAATCTCGCCTGAAAACACCTGAAACACCGGAAACCGGCACCGGAAACGGCCACACGAACAACGCAGGATGCGCCCGGCAAGCCCTATCCAGAGTGCGCCTATGTTTGTTGTGTTTTTTCATGGGATGGGTGTGGAGGTGAAATTGGGTTGCAGTTCTTGACATATTTGTTGGGTGCCACTAGACTGTCAGACACACCCCACGGTACCCGGGTACCCTAAAACAGCTTTGGGTTCGAACGGCCGTTTTCTGGAAAAGGAGAGTTTTCTCGCGTCCAATGGGTCGAGCCCAAAAGAACAAGGTGTTTGGAGTGCCACTTGAAAGCGACGAAGTGTAATAACATCATGTGTTGAGTGCGGCCTGGAAAGCAAGCCATTTCACACCAGAAATATCCAGAAATCATAGGAGTAGAACTAGCTTACTGAGAGTTGAAGGAACATTTAAATAGATCTTTGGAAGATTAGAGATCAAGGAAACTATAGGAAACTCAGGGAGCTACCCAACATCGAGGACCATCAGGCCAGGGAGGGAGTGCTGAAACTGAAGAGGCACCAAATCCATGGAAGTCATCAGTAAGTGAGAGGTGCAGCATGGTGTGCAGCATGACGATCCATCCAGCTTCAAGGGATATTCTACCAGGTTTTGGCTGGAACTCAAAGGTTTATTGACCCAGACACGACGAATGGGACTGCCAGTTCGGACTGCCGATCAATTGACCCCCCAGTCAACCACCCCTGGCCTGATGGGCATATATTCCAGTCCCAGACACGTCGTCTCTGGGTGATGTTTTGCTATCTGGGACTTGGGATCCCCAAGGAATCCGATCGACTCATCAACGCTGAGAGATGCGGGGGCCGGCAGCGGCTGGGAGGTATGGGACTCCTGCGCACGGTCTTTCCGCAGCACAGGTACGGGACTCTTCACGATATCGACTGATCCACGACGGAGATGAAGCCGGCGCGGCCGTGACTCCTGCGGAGATCGGAAGCACGAACAAAGGGGTGCCGGAGCTGCCTGAGAAGCTGCCGGGGTGTTGGTTCCGGGGCCAAGTAGCAGAGGACCAGCAATGTTGGATTGATCAAGTACAATTGCAATATAGTTACTCCCCAACAAAACCTGATTAATATTATGTCTTAGAGATGTGTTGTGTTCGACACTTGAGTGTCGGATCTTTGATGTAGGTGCTACTGCTATGGTCGGGTACTTCAGTACCAGGGCAGGGCATGCGGATCACGGCGCCGGAGTTGGCACCAGATTCTTTGGCCCCCGGAAGACCCGATTCGACCGGGTTCGATCGGCGCAGGGACCCGACTGGCGACCCAGCAGACCCATACCTTTCAGTTTCTCTCAACCCTTTGAACCCTCCATAGCAGGACAAAAGGGGCCCTCAAAGCCCCCTTTTGTTTGAGGGCCCGGATCCTGAATATTAGGATGTGGGGAAGGTCAATATGTTTTGCTTATTCTCTCATCAGCATATGGCATCCCGTAACTATGCATCAATTAGGATCTTCATGATGCTTGCAACTTGTGGGGCACCAAATTCTGAGGTGCGCTTGCTTTGGAGGCAAGCCCCCGAACCTTGCAAAGCTTCACCAAACCACATATAGAAGGAGATGCTCAAGGCTCTGAATCCTGGTAACAAAAACACACACCCAGAAAGCCACGCAAATCAGGTCACATACCATAACCATCCAATATCCAAAATCTAGCAAATTGGGGTTCCAAATTCATAGATTTCCATTGATTTACATGGGAATCTCCTCATCAAATCTTTGGAGATTCCCAGTTGATTCCCACCATCGCACCCACCATCCTTCTTTCCATTCGTCCTTCGCATTGGCGCCTCCCGCTGCCGCCGTGCCGCGCCATGCCGGCGGGTCACGGCTATGCGGGCGAAGCGGTCGGAGAGTCGACCTGGGCGGCTCTGGAGGCGTGGCTCGGGGCACCGGTCGATGGTTTGGTCGAAGTGGAACCGGTGACCCTGGGAAAAGGATGGACAAGCTTTTCCATTCAGAAACAGATGTACAAGCGTAACCTACTGCATAGGTTAAATAGAACACCTTATAAGGTTTTTTTGTAGCTTCTGTTGGATCATTTGTTGGATGAACGTTGTGATATGGAACTGTTCAAATCTCTCCTTGATGATAAATTAACAGTCAACATATAGTAGTCAACATGACCTTTCCAAGAATGGATCACCGGAACCTGGCTTCCAAGAGGCTTGAAGCTTCCACTGTGCTGAAGCAGAGTGCATACTTGGAATGTTAGATATGGTGTTGGAAGATGTTGGAAGGATATATCCTGGACCACCTGAAAGAAACACTGTCACTCATGTTGTTGTCCTTGTTTTTTTTATTCCAGTATCTCTCTTCTATGAACCCTAGTGATGTTGTCATTCTCGTGGGGCCTTCTTCCACAACGCTAAGCAGGCATCGTCATCCTCTTCCCAAACGCTGTTGTCATCCTCTTCCAGCTGTTGTCATTTCTGGATGTGAATGACGAGCCCTCGTGGAGCCTCGTACGCACGCATGACGGTCACGCTCGCCGAACATCGCGTGAAGGACGTGCGATGTCCGTCAGGTGCAGCTGGCGGGCGATTGGGAAGCCCGACGTCAGGCCATTCAGGCGGGAGAACTGAGAATGTGGAGGTCCTCCGTGCAACGGAGAACGGAGTGAAGCCGGGGGGGATTGATATGCGGGGTTTAGATTAGAGTCGGTAGAGTGGAGTTTTCTGATGGAAGTTGATTGTAGGAGAGCCATAAAAAGCCTATAGCGTTTTATAGGTTGCTTTATTGTACACATGGCCAAAGAGGTGCTTCACAAGATGATCTACCAGTTTAGTTACGGTTTGCGAATATTCCTCAATCCAGGAATGGTTCAAATGGCACTGCAAATAGAGCCCAAAGGAGTGCCTCCGGAGGCACCCAAGAGGTCCCAAACACCACAGTGCAAGTGTTTTTTGCTGTTGTGATTCTGTTGTGATGATGTGTCCACGAGTCCATTGTTGGTGTCCAAGCACCATATATCACTTGTTTGCCTATTTTTGTGTGAATGTTAGCTAGCTAGTGAGCTGTCAGAAAAAAAGAAACATCAAATACTCCACTGGGCTCCTCACTCATCGGCTCGGGGCGGCCTACTCCAGGCACTCGGACGCGAGAAGCAGCTGGGTGGCAGCGACTTCGAGCGTGCTGTGGAGATGCTCGGATGAAAGACTTGGAGCTGAAGGCTGAAGACTCAGGCCAGACCTGATCAGAGTTGGCCCCTCCTGGCCCAGCGAAGGTAGTTAGTTTTAGAATGTTTTAGACAAGTCAGGTCCAAATCCATCGCACCTCCTGAATCTCAGAACTTCGGATGTGGTTGAAGCCCTGCAAAGAGACGAGGCCTCTGATTTGACTAATACAGGGACCAGCAGGGATCCATGGGCTTATCACAGTGACAAGGTGGTCTGTCAGGTTTATTAATACCTGCACCTGCACCTGATGGCGTGATGTGTTAGTCGATCCAGAAATCAGGATTTGGGGGAACATACGAAGAGCTGTTTCTCCAAAGTTCAGGATCCCCAGATGGAATATCTCTTGGCAGCTGTGCAGCTGAGGACATGGATCTTTGGTTCTATTCATGTACTTTCAGCCGACCCACATGGAGTTCACCCCAAAAGGGTGTGTGTCTTTTGGGAAGATGATCCATGCCTGCTCATTTGCTGTTTTGGGGGGACTCTGAAGCTTTGTCAGGAATTTCTATCTAATCACCTGTTCCAAGAATGCAGACATTAGTGAACCGATTTTGTTCCTTATCTTGGGCCACCCTCGCTGGGTTCTGGACGCACTAACAGAGCACAGGAGTTGGTGATGGTTTCACCAACGAAGGCAGACAGGAACGCGTTTTCCTTAAAAGGATGGTCTTTAGGTGACCCAAAAAGGAACGTCCTTGACTTGAATGGGTCAAAGTGTAAGCAAATATTCCGTACATTGGGGTGTTTGGATCTGAGTCTGCACTTCCCAGTAGCTCAGAACTGAGCCGCTGGAGCCGCGGCGTTCCCCAAGTCCGACTAGTGAATCATATCCATGCAGGAGTGCCGGGTATTGGAGCCTGGGTATACTACTTGGAAAAGGTTCCCATGATCCACTCACACAGGACCGGGGATGGCAGCTATGGGAAAGCTATGGGAAAGCTAGCACCCCGAACTCCAAGTTCTGCCAGATGTTTGGAACCATGGTCGACCCTGGCGCCCGACCCCCTTGTTTGTTTTCCATTTTTCACCCACATTGACTTGGATGAACTGGACAAACCTTCCAAAACAACCTCCAAATGTGCCTGGACCGTTTGGGAGACGTTTGATGTTTGCAGCTTCAGCTGATGCAGCCTCGGCTGATACCGCGTGTCCCACAATTGCTTTAAGGGTCAATCTATCGGAAAACAGGGGGTTTCCGGTAGATTTTCCAAACCAATTCATTGAGTGTGAGGCTGGTGATCAAGTACCTGGAGGACCCAGACCAACATGTGCGCCGCACGTCGCTCGACAGCGCGGTGCGGCTCCTGGTGCCGCCACCACCGCAAGAGGACATGACTGTGGAGGAGGGGTGTTGATTTTTGTCTTTTAGATTGGTAAACATGGTTTTGCTTGGAGGGGTTTTTCAGGTGGTTTCTACCCCAAGATTGGTTGATTCAGGTAGATCATCTATACCTGCTTCAAATGATACCAGAGTCTCAGGTATCAACAATCAGGGTGTTGTTAGCTGTTGTTGTAGTCTTACCTTCTACTGTTGTAGTTTTACCCCCTTGTTAGCTGTGTTAGCTGTAGTCTTGTTTTCTACTGCTGTTGTTAGCAGTGTTCAAAATTTTGCTTCTGAAGTTTTCCATGGCATTTTTCGGCTGGAGAGATGTCCTGAAGAGGAGGCGGCAGAAGCCACTGCGCGGCGGCAACATGCGCAGGAAAGCGAGGTGGAACCTGAGAAGATCCAAAGTTGTTTCGACTCATTAGTGATCAGTTTTTTATAATTGGCCACGCATCTGTCGTGGGCTAAAATGTTGTACCTGGCAGGTTCCCTTATTTGTATGCCTATATATATGCTGCAAACGAATAGGATGAACAGGTCTTGGGTCCTTGAAAACGAAGCTTTGCAGATTCTGCAACGAAGCTTGGTGGACAAAGTAAATAACCTCCCACATGACAAGGCAAACACATGTCCATTTAGATACGTGATGGTGATTGATGTTTCACCTTTTCTTTGCGGCTACTCCCTCGGAGCCCAAGACATGAACAGATATGGAATGGTTCTCCTTAAATCCGTACGCAGGGAGGAACAGTCAACAGTCCATCGGTTTGTTTCTTCAACGATCCTTTTTGGGATGTCAACATTTGGGGAGCTTGGGATCTCCAACTGCTCGTATCTAAGAGGTACTCCCTTTATTAATGCAACTGAAAAGTCTGAGGTTGGATGATCGTACTAATTATCATCCATCAGACCAACATTCGCCACACCTGCGTTCACCGTGCCGCGAATCACTCACTCACCGCCGTGACAGCCGTGGGAATGGAGCGGAACAGCCATGACCAGAGACACTGCATGGGACTGGAACTCGGGGTCCGACACTCCATCCGCACGACAGGACTGGAAGAGTCGTAGAATACATAAACCACTCAATCGGTCCATCCACCACCCCAGGTCAATCGATCAACCGGATCCACACTCTTTGAGAAGGTGATTGGAGACTATGTAGGCTTGGAGGGTCCAAGGACTCAGGATCCCCTGAGAAGGTATGTGGATCCCAGTCTGCGATTGGCGCTTCGTTCGTTTCCACTTTGACCGGGACGGCAGTCACGGTCAGGCTGTATCCGGGGGTCACGAGCCGCGCCGTGGGGGTCACGTCTATTTGGGAGGAGTACATCTATGAGGGGGAGAAGCATTCAACATTCTTCAGTTTACTTGTTTTGATATGTAACGTATACAATTGTTGAATCATGTTGAATCTATAGCTTGTTCTGATGGATGATCCACACAAGTAGGGAATGGCTGATTATTGGGTATGAGCCTAAAGACCTGCACATGCATGAGCCAGTCGTTCAAGAGAAACAGCTAGAAAGACCCTGGTCAGATCGGGGTGTCCAGAGAAACCTCCCCGGAACTGAGCTTCCCCTGCAGAGCTTCACGTCGTTCAGCGGTTTTCAGGTGACGCAGAAGGTCTTGCGCCTGGTGCTGACCCGCCTCGCAGAGGATCAGGAGAGGGCGGAATCAGAGAGCAACTCACATGGAGCAACTCACATGGTGTCACAGTAGGCAGTCATGACTGGTCATGACCATACCATGCAAGTCATGCGGATAAAACAACAATATATAACTCGCTAACAAGTGCAACTGAAGTTGGCCTACTCCTGACATGTGCTTGACATGCAGCTCAGAGGGGCTGGCATCACTACTAACGACTAAACATGCACGGGTAGTAAAACGATGGTTTCTTATGGCGCGCTTGATGTTTGCAAATTTGATTGCTTTTCTCTCGTGGTACGGTCTGGAACTGTTTCAGAGGGGAATTGGCAAACCATGAAGATGGTCGTTACTGATCCCCCAAAAAAGGTTTCTTTTTTCAACGTGAGTATTCATATCGGACAATTTTACAAGAAACCGTTTTGCAGTCAACCGCGGTGATGTGAAGTGTTTAGTGTTTCATATACGCAATGAATCACACCCAAATACACCAAACAACCCCCAACCCCCCCACACTGTTTCGTATTGACACTTTGCATGTCCTGGGTGTCAACTTCCAAACACTGGCTATTTGTACAACTTTGTATGTTCGTGGTATACCATGCACGTATACCCTCCCACCAACAGGTCTTGGTCGATCATTCTCCTTTTCTAATTATTCCATCCCTACAAGTCCAAGGACCAAGTTAAACCTGGTCCTTGACCTGGATGTTGCATTTTCCAGTCATTGAGTACGTCCGGAGTCGACTGGAAAGTGACAGGACTGGGGCGTGCGGAAGGTGGCGCTGAGTGCGGCGGCCGAGATGGCCGGGCGAGGTGAGCCGGAGACCTTGAAGGCTATCGAGGCGTGCATCCAGCGTGGTGCGCGTGGCGCGCGTGTGAGCAGCGGCGGTTTGGGGGGGGCGGTTAAAAGGAATGAAGTTCACCATGTTCACTTTAATTATTAATCATATCGACTCATGACTCATATCTACTCATGGAGGCAAACAAAAAGGCAGGAAACATGACGGCTTGTCATGGTCACGAAGAAGGCCTTGGTTTTGCTGTTCACCCCAAGTGCTGAGAATCGAGCCGATGGCCCCTGCATTTCGGTTGGCCCGGCCCTCATTTCCACCGGTTGGCTGGTGGTCAGCTCCAAAACCTGTTTGGAAACGAACGTTCAATCATGTTGTCTTTTAACCAGGTACATCCAACTACTATACTTAATATACAAAGAAAAGGAGAACCGATTAATAATTAGGTTAATGAATGATCCTCTGATAGACATTCCAATACTAGTTTCCATGCTCCAAATGGCTTCATATTCATGGCGGGCCGAAACCGCGCGATCCTCGGCCAGCCCTACCTCTGCGACGGCGACGACGATGTCCGCGCCGCGGCGGCGAGCGCGGCGGGGCGCTTGGCGCCACGCGGGGAGGAGGCGGGGGGGAGGGTGGGACGGAGCTGGGGCATGTCCAACCCGATTGAGCTGGGGTAAGGTCGGATTCTGTTGGGAATTCGGAAGTCTATGTCATTCTATGTCTTGAACATTCATGGTCTTTTCATTGTTTTGGATATGGCAGTGGCTGTGACAACCCAGGAACGAGCAGACCCAGGAGCAGCTGAGCTGTACAAATCTCAGAGTTGGACTGGTTTCGGTTGACTCGATCAGACCGTCCATGCCCAGACCATGGGACTGGAATAGTTACATTTACCGTTCACCCAGTCGTTGAGCCCATGAACATGACCCCAATGTAGGTAACTATTCCCATGGATGGTCTGGGATTGTTGCTTTCCATGTGAATTCGGATCCGGCCTGATGACCTGACCTGACCTGATGTTTGTCAGCATTCCACAGAGGAGATGCGAACGGAAAAACACCCAGAAATGGACTCTTGGGGTGGTTTTTCCAACGATCGTTTTCAGGTGTGAATGGGTGACGACATCATTTCATAGTGGAGTTTGATGTTGGATGGTTCAGTTTGGAACCTCCTGATATACAGCATGTTCTAAATGATGTACCCTGAAGTGAGATGGTGAGTCTTTCAGCACACCACATTTGTGTAGTGCTTGAAGGTGTGGCTCAGCAAGCTTTTCAAGCTGCTCGATGACGATGATGAGGCGCGACTTCGCGACGCGGCGCACGGCGAGCATGATTGCTCAGTGTTTTTTTCTTTTTTAGCGTACATGCTCCTAGTAGCGTCCGAACGCTCCTAGTAGCGATGCCAGGAGCCCCTAGTAGCTTCTTGTTCCTAGTGGTAAGGCCAGGAGCCCACAGGAGGCCGCGAAACGAACAAATAAGCTCGTACACACCCTCAAATAGTCATGGAAGTGGAACATGGCCCCCTTGGATGACAATTTTGCTTCAAATGGATGTCTTTCCACTTCCACGATTATTTCAGGCGTGTAGATCTGCAGATTGAATGTAGCTGCGTGTAGCCGCATTGCTTGAAACTACATCGGTTGGATGAGCATGGTTAAAATTGTGTGGATACAATTAGTGTGTTTTTTGTTCACAGGAGTTCGGCATGTTTCCTTTAGCAACCAGAGGTGGTGGCCTGGGACTGCACAAGTATAGGTACAGCACAAGGAAGGACATAGCTAGAAGCTACTAGTAACAAGTGCATCGCTACTAGTAACAAGAGCATTACTGCTAGTAACAAATGCGTTACTACTAAACAAGCGCATTACTACTAGGAACAAGAAACGTGTGGGTCATATTCTGTCTCTATCAGCTTGAGGATTACGCCCAGGAAGAGAGCCACATGGAACCTGAAAACCTACGCCGGGTTGTGGAGGAACATCGTTCCATGTCATTTTCAGGTTCCATGTGGGTCTCTTCCCGAATGTAGGTATGAAACAACTCCCAGGTCTTCAACACCTCCCGGCGTTTTCTTGGCCTTCCACTGGTTCCAGTGGAAAACCCCTGTCATCTGCCGCAGGCTGTCCGGCAGGCGGCCGTGGTGGCAGTGGGCCGTTTGGCTCCGGGCTCGGCGAGCCACGGGAAGGCTGTCCAAAGACTGAGGGAGCTGGCGGAGGAGGAAGAAGATGAGCCTTGTTGGATGAGGAAGGGATTGACAGACCTGTTCCTACTGACCTATGTATTTGGGAGGTCGGGCAATACAGATGGGCTCGAGGTTGGTTTTGACCCATCCCCAAATGGAATATCAGGCAACAGATCCACTTACAAGTACCTAGCAGTGGTTCTAAAGACATGACATATCATACTGTAGAACTCCAGAGTCTAGCTGGATCTTCCCAGTGACCTTTTTTGATCCCTTGGTTTGAGGTTACAAACAGGCTTGTAAGTTCGGTCACAAAAAGGGCTCTCCAAAGTTCGGTCACAGGGAAGGTCCTGGTAGAGGCTCCCTGGTTCCTTCCAGCCGAAAGACGATGCGGTCACGATCCCTTTCCCACGTGTCACGGTGAAGACGATGGCCAGAGAGGCCCTCAGCAGCAGGGTGATTGGTCCCTGCAGGGTGACATGGGAGAAGCAATTCTTGGAGCCACACGCTGGACAGTTTGGAAATAGATGAAGCTTGACAGAGGTTCGGTCCATGACATATACGTTTTCGGATGCTCATCTACTATATACAGTCCTTCTAGCTGTTTAGATGTTGACGGCATCCAAGCTGCGGGCCTTGAAGGCACATCTGGGCCTTTATCGGCACATCTGCGCGTTTCGGGTTGAGGTGTTCGATATTGTTCGATCTTTCGCTTCTGACCTTAAGAAGTGGTGACACCGGGGGGGCACCTGATGTTTCAGGAAGCAAACATGTGGAGTTCTGCACATCTGGCCACTCTGGATGGATGTTTGGAGGTCTGCCAGGGACCATAGTGAATAACATAAGCAACAAAGGCATTGACATCTAAATGCAGTTTTGATCAGTTTGTACGGATCCATTGGCCATCATTGGCCTATAGATGGATGAGACTCATTGAAACTCGGCGTTTGATGGTTTGGAGTTCCGCAAAGAGGTTCAATAGCTTGTGCATGGGGTGACAGCTCCACTGTTTGCAGTGCGCCGCATGAAAGTCTTCAGCTTTGCCTAAATCAACAGGACCATTGAGGTTGCTTTTGTGGCGTCGGCACCCCTCCATTCACCCACCCAGCACTTCGCGATCGGTCACGGTTCAGCCCGTCACGATCGGCGCACCCTCCATGGACCGATCGCTGCACACGTGTCTGGTCTGTCGGGTCCGGCAGAACGGTGCGCTCCGCGCTTCGAATCACGCTCCGCACATCAGATCAGAACACGCGGACAACGAACACGGCGCGTGGTCGTTTCGTGGTAGGTCGCATGGTTTCACGTTTGGGTGGTCGGATGGCATCGGAAGTCGGCCGAGTCACATTTCGGCACCATCCAAGGACAAAGTGCGTCGTGCCGTGGTGTCCACCTTGCATGCTTTGCGTGGATGAAAGGGCGACGATGCGCCGGCCTTTTTGTCCAGGGAAGGTACATTTTTAGGGTGAGCTCTGTGTAGCTCTCAGGGGACCGAGGACAGCAGGTAACCATATCGTTTATGAAGCACAACCAGTCAAAAGGGAGCGAAAGTAGATCTGGAGGTGTAAGAATTGCTCGGAGGCCTCACGTCGACGTCGCTCGGATCCGCTAATTCTGCGCTGCATCGAACGAGGATCGTTGGATGATGGACGGAGAGAGGGGATGGACGCAGTAGTCAGCAGCTCAAAGCAAACCTGACTCATCAGGATGCTTAGTAAGGAATAGGGGTCGGAACTTTTCAGGAATCTCTGAGATGGGGGCGAGACTCTTAAATTCCCCTACCAACTTCAACGCGAACTCTTAGTTGTGCCTGATTTCATCTCTACCCAGTGCCTCCAATGGGCTGCCTTATTATAGTACTGAAAGCCAGGCTTTTTGTACGTAAGTGCATGGTATACTATACTAACAAACAGAACGTTAGATGATGATCAAGCATGATCAAGCAGAATATGTCCGTGGTATTTGAGGCCCGTGCAACGCATTGTTGTACAACAAACAGCTCCAGGAGCTCTACGGCTTTTCGAACATCAACACAGGTGAATGGACTGATGGCTTGGCCTCGAACTCAGCTGTTCGAGGAGGCGAAGCCAGTGGCGAAGGGCGGAAAATCCAGGATGCCGCTGGTTTCGGCAGACTGAAGATGTCCCGTTCTGGGGCGGATTCCTGGTGACGGATTTCTGGGGCGGATTCCTGGTGACCTGGTGTATTTGGTTCAAAGGTGGTGTGGTTGAGAATCCTGTGTTTTCATGGGTCCAAGTAACCCCAGCTGAAACGAACATAATCAACTCAATTTGAAACCACTTGCATCCATTTTCGGCTTGTTTACAGGGTTCAACATTCTGCAACGGACCCAGCTTCAACGAGGAGAAACCACCAAGCGAAGGAAAGAAGGCTGGCAGCTTTGGATGTTTGTTCTGGACAGTTCCGGTTGTGATTATCCCGTCAAGCCCTGCAACTCTGCTTCGAACAGTGTGTCATTGTTGCTTTTCGTTTCGGTGCACCTTGCACGAAAACCCGTTGTGTTTCAAGCCAGGAGACCACATGCCATTCCTCACCGAAAGGAAAGAGTTGATCAACTGAAACTGGATCCTTTCAAGGAGCACCCGAGCACCCAAAACCATAGAGCAGACTGAGCAAGGCGAAGGTCCCACGGGACCCTCTCCTTTCTGACCAGATGACCTATTGCCTAGCCTAGCCAGTACTGTCGAGTACACTTTTCACTGACCGAACCATTTCCAACCGATTTCTCCACGCTGCCAGTGAAATCTCTGACGCGTGGTTTGTGGAAAAACCATGAAAAACCCGAGAACTCGCGCGGGTTCAACACGTCGAGCGGCCCTGAGGTGGCCCTCCTCGTCCGTGAAGCGGTGAGTGATACCTCCGAGAACAAGAAGTGGGTGCCACTGGAACCGGTCAGAGCTTTGCCTTCCGGGGTGGACGAGGGACGAGTCCGCGTGGTGAGAGGGGTGGTGAGAGCTACGGGGGACCCGGTGATGGAGTGGTGAATGGAAAGAACATGGATGCCCATTATATATATCTACTGGGTCATCATGGTTCATCATTTAAAAGATTGGCACCTTTTTCGATCCTTTTGGTAAAAACCCAAAAGAGAGAACTGCATGGTTCATCATGACAAGAACTGGAAGGAAGCACTGGCGGGTTCGGATTGTTGGCCAATTCTTCCAGATCCGTGGTTTGGATGACGGTCGCTCACGCGCGGTCGCGACGTCTTCGACTGGGTGGTTTTTCCATCGAATCGCGACCACGAGGGAGGGAGGGAGTTCCTCAAGGTAAAGATGTTGTACACCTCTTTGGACACCGGGTTTTTGCATGTTTTTGCCACCGTTATTTTAGGGCGCTGAAAGACCTCCTTCTACTTGAGGGCTGAAAGACATCCAAGTCACTATGTTTGTTCCAAGTTTTCGTGTGCACAGCCAATTTTCGTTGTTTCGGGCGACGACTTGGTAGCAAGCACCAGAAAGAACTAAAAGCTTCGAACGTTGGTGCTATCGAACATGTTTGCACAATCTAAGTAAATCATCATCACGAACATGCACAGACTCCCCATGCTTTTGTTAATGATTCAATTTCAATCCATTGTAAATGGTAAATCCTCAGCATGTTTTGTTTGTTCTTGGTTGCTCACGGTGTTTTGCCCATGGACAAGAGTTCGCCCAGACACAAACATGGGACTGCCACATTTGCATATTGGGGTGGTTTCAAGGGTGAATGTAGGCATCGATATTCCATACATGGAGTGTTTGGGTAGTAGGTCACGCTCCATTGAACGCTCCAAGCACGCAAAACGACCCAAACCGCCTTGATCCTTTCGCACACCGCTGTCGTTTGTCTCGTTCGTCTCACCGGCGGCCGAGAAAAGGTGCTCTTCGATGGTCCTGTGGATGCCATTTGGATTGAGAACATGAACACGGCGCCGATGCCCAGACTGGACGTCAGGGCGACTGGTTGGGTCTGTTCTTTACCGCTTGGGAGGAAGAGTAGCTGACGCGGTGAGGGAGTGAGTGATCAGAGTCACATAGTCTGAATAAGATCTTTGGACGTTCGTTTCGCTTTAAGGATGTTTGACTACAAAACCAGGTCAACCATTCTTTGAATATCTTTTAATGGTCTATGAAGGCTAGGGCATCATTGGACATGGTACCAACTGAACAATGTTATCCCTCCGGAAGATTCATGCCACATGAGAGGCTCCGAAGGGCTCACATCTAGCTGGCACAAGTCCTTGGCCATTTTTTGGAGGGAGCAGTCCTGTTTAGTATTTAGTTATAAAGGTTCCAAGGGTAGAATATGGTAGCATGATTTTGATTGATTTTGACTTTTCAAGTGCGTAGTGTATAGTGTATAGTGAAAGCAGGTATTCCATCATGAGCCGAGTAGTGTTCTAGTTCTCCACCGTGTGAGACTTCGACCTCCTGTAGTGTTCTCTTTATAGTAGCTATGAAGACCTCCTATGAAGACCCTCAGGTTAAGCTAGATGTAGACTTCACTTAGACTAAGAAAGATGTCTTCTACATCTACCCTCTAAGTGAAGTAAAGATAGATGTAGACTTCACTTAGAATGTCTAATTGTTTTTTTCCAGTCTCGTTTTTATCCTTTTTGACAGGCCGTCTGAAAAACACCGATGGCCAGCGAAAGCAAATTTCCCAAGTGGGTGGCAGCCCTGAGGTGCTGGACGACAACAAGATGCTTTGCTTGGCCAATGGTGAACGCATCAAGTGGCATGGTCCGGAATCGGAATGCCCGGAGATTGGGACATGTTGGGAACAGGAATGGCAGATGGTGTTGGATGGTCCCAATTCGTGCACCGGATCTTCTTTTTTTCTGATCGAATTCAAACCGATGACACCCCACCCACAAGGACAGCAAGCTGTGCAGTGGTCGTGTTCTTCTTTTGGGTCTCTCATCTAACACTTGGGTGCGGACAGCTTCCCGGAGAGACAGTGTCGAAAACGATCGCAACTAGAAGGAGCACTTCACTAACACGCTTGAAAGCCGAGTGCTTTGGGAGTTGCAGACATGCTGTGAAGACGAGAATATACTCCGTCACCGCATACTGCTCCGGAGCTGTGTAGGGGGCGTTTGGTCCACGTCTGGCTGCGAGGTTACCGCCCACCATGACCATGCTCTTTGAAGTGCAGGACCTCAAGGCGCTGAGAAGGACTCCTCTCAGGGGGCCTTTCAGTTACGTTGAGTGGCCGTGACTCACTCACTCACGACTTGGCGACTTGGTAGAGAAGAACTGGCACAGTTTTCGAGGACGGGCCCAGTTCTGCTCTCTAAAACGTACACGAGTTCCAAAGAGGTTTCCCTTTGGACCCCGTTTTGGGTCTCTTCCTCGGTCCAAACGGACCAGCGGGTTCATCAAAAGCACTTTCGAGCACCAGCTCTTCACAATCAACCGCTTGAGAAATCCCATGAGGCAACCGCTTTACGGATGAACGGAATGTTTCCGAAGAGCCTGAAGACAGCTGGAGAACAGCTGTTGGACTCAACTGGAAATCTATGTAGAAATCTAAGGAGATGTTTCAAATGCTTCCCCCTGGTTCCAGTTTCCAAAGCACACCCTGCAAAAAAACCACGGAACCTGCAAAGCATGGGAACAAAACATGTGCTCCAGAACCCATCAGACAAACATTACTGTTTTTTTTGTTTTTGGAGCGTTCCCCACCCTGAGAGGTGATTTGGAAGAAGGCATGGCACATGTATCGATATTGTCCACACAAAACGCTACCTGATATGCGCGATCACGCATTGTTCTGACATACATTATATAATTGTTTCAAGACCGGTGTGTGTTTTGACCTTTGACACATCATCTGGCATAGAGGCCCACGAACATTCTCTTGAAGGTTGTTTTGGCTTCCGGACGACTGGCACGTGACAGTTTTCCCCTCCTGTGAAGTCGTGCTCTCGCACCTCTGGTGCTTTTGTGCTTTCACTTATTGTGTTGTGACATATGGTCCAGCTTCGGGTCTGAGGGGCGTTCTGCCATGCACAGTATGGACCGCATGTCCATCACCATTGCCACTTGCTCCGAGAAAGGACATCGTTTCTGACTCATGTGTGTATTGCCTTTTGCATTCGAGGTATTCTGACATTCTTTCTGACCTGACATTCTTGCTGGCATGCTATTTGGCATCTATTCCGCCATTCTTTTTGGCATTTTACCTGGCATCTATTCTGAGATTCTTGCTGGTTTTCTAGCTGGTATCTACTTTGACATGTTATTTGACAAAGTTTCTGCCATGTTTGGCCATCTTTTCTGGCATCTATTCGACCATTCTATTTGGCATGGCATGTCCCTGCGTGCCCCGGAGCTGGATTTAGTGTTCAGGTCCGTGTGCCCAAACCAAGCTGGGGTTCTCTGTAGTGTTCGGGTCCCTGTGTGCTACCAATCCTGATCCGGTCCGTGCATGCTTAGACAGAGGGGGAAAGCAATGGAAGCAGGAGGGCCTCTTCAGAGTCTCACTATTCATAATATCTAAAGACCTTTATCTCGCAGGTGGGGAACAACACACGTTTGTTTCACGCTCACACAGATTGAAAGCCTGCACACACGCCTTGAAGTTATCATGGTAATGGAAGGGGCCCCTTGGATGACCATTTTCCTCTACAAAGAACTGGCTTTCCGCTTCCCTAATTCCTGGAGGAAGTACATATATATATATATAAATATAGTAGTTTTATAGATCAATAAATATACAGTAAAATACAGAACCATATAGATATGCCTGCACCTTGGCTGCCTGGACGCTTCGGCGTGCGATCCGTGCGTCACCGCGATCAGCCGCGATCAGCCGCGCGTCACGCGTCACGGTCCGCAGGTCGCCTCCCCTGCGACCATCAGCCGCTGTGGCATGGCCCGGGGACTGAAGAAACAGCGAAAAGAGAGGAGAGACCACTCAGAAACTCAGAAGTGAATTCACGTATTCATCTGATTCCATTTTATTTACTAATACAATTGATTTCACGTACTTAAGGTGGAAAACAAAGTGGAACAACAGGATCAATGAATGCGGTGGGATGCTCGTTGGTTCAACTGCCCTTTTCACATTTGTTCAGAGTGAGCACCAACTGAATCCATCGGAATTTGGTTCGCAGGAAAGCGCATGACCTCATATCCTTTGTTCAGGCGAGGGTCGGTCTACATCGCCTCAAACTATCACTCATACATTACGGTTGGTGTCCAGGCTCTAAAAGCATGCATGAGTTCGGGATTTGATGTTCCTGGCTGGCAAAGAAAAGCATCTTGGCAGGAAGAAGTGCCCTTGTTGGGCAGGATATGTGCCACCAACACGTCCAAAACCCATGTTTCGGGGTCCACATCATATGGTTTGGAGTTAGGAGGATGTGTTCGAGAACTTGGGTTGAACTGCGACCCCGGAAGTTGGGTGTCACGTGGACATGCAGACCCCACGGACCGGAAGCATGCTTGATGGCTTCCCAGGTGCTAGTGCTGTTGGGTGGGTGCAACCTGAGCTGGGTTGGAATTCACTTGAACAGATTTGACATGACCAGTCACTTCTACTGATTGGACATGATTACAGACAAGTACCTGATGGATCTGCAGCTTTTCTGCTCATGCCTAGAGGGGTACGTTCAAGCAACTTTGGACGGTCTGCCCGAACCTAACTTTTTAGAATGGAGACCTTGAGCTACCAGAACACCTTCCTGGACATGAACATCTCTCAGGCGTTCACAGGGTTTTGGGGGGGTGTACTGGCTACTCGGGTGTACTGGAGAACTTGGGTGACCGGGGTTTAAAGGATCCTGCAGTGCAAAGAGTGGATCCTCATGCTGTGTACTTCCTGCTGTGTACCTTCCTGGTTTAATAGGATCCGATCCTCATGCTGCGGTGGCCGTGTTCTTCTAATCAGTTGGCTCTCTACTAGCTTCTGATCTGTCCATCCACAGCACCAAGGACGGAACTGTAGACCAAAAGAAGGAACCACATTTATTTTCCTGGTTCTCAAACGATTCGACAGACAGGGGCACTCACCGGACCATCTGAGCCACGTTCTTTTTTGCAAATGATTAGGTTTATACAAAAAGGGAACTGTTGAGAAGTTGCGGAGGCTGTTCTGCTTGGGGCGTAGGCGTCGTGTAAGAATTTTGCGTAGGTGGGTGTTGAAAGATTTGCGTAGGCAGTCTTGCGTAGGCACACTTTTCATGAAAGCCTGAGTTTTCTTATTCAGACTTCTTTAAAAGTTGTTCAAGGGTCTTGGGGAAAGATAATGTTGGCTTGTGGTTGTTTAACTTGACACTTGCTTGCACATTCCAGTGGGGAAGGAAAATGAACATGAATTGTAACGACATGGCTACAGTGGATGTTTGAAGTTTGTTTGTCGAAGCTATGGGGGCACATTGGTTTTTGAGGTCAAAAGCTTGATCATGCTTGGTCTGGCACACCGGCTCTTGAGCTACAAGTGTGCGCACCCTGTTGGTACCATAATCAATGGACCTATTTTCGCGTAGGCCCCGCGTAGGCGCTGGCGGAAGCAGCGAGTAGGCAAGAAGCTATTGGCTGCTGCTACTGCTTGGCTGCTGCTTTTGCTGCTGCTTGGCTGCTGCTGCTGCTGCTGCTGCCTTTTGTTTTCTGCTGCTTGTTTGCTGCTTGTCGTGTGCTGTTTATGTGCTGCTGCTTCCACACTGTAATTGGATCGGCTTGTTACAAAATCTATTTGGCCATCGGTAGCAAAGCTGTAAACGCCTTGTAAACAGGAACCTGATGTGACCCGGTCGCATCGGGCCACTAATTGCTGATTATATACTGTAGCTCTTTTCGAGTCACCTGATGTGACTAAAGTTGGTGACAGTACCCTGCGTAGGCATCCCGCGTTGGCACCTAACAAAAAGAACCTCTCGCGTAGGCATTTGCTTGAGAGGGGGGGCCCAGGCGTAGGCACCCGCGTACAGTGTATAAGCCCCACACCACAAAAATAAACACAACTCATCTGGGGCCCATCAGACACCAATGCATGGCCTCTACCACCTGAGATCTTCCGAAAACCTCACGCAGTCCCCCTTGCAGGTGTCCAACATGTGTGGAATTGCCTGAGTTGGGAGTCTTGGATCCGTAGATCTCAAGAGGAAAGTTCCATCATGTTCCGCTCATCAACCATCCCATCAACCAGTCCATCAACCAGCAGCACAACGACCCACCACCAACCCGCCGCCGCGTGATTGGACTTAGCTTCGAAGGCTTTGATCTCCACAACAAAAAGATAAGACCCAGAAGTAAGTACAGTGTAGAGACCTGAGAATCATTGCAAGCACCTTAAATTGGTTGAATGAAAACTGAATCATACAGAATCATAAGACTCTGAAAGTGTTTGCAATATGTGCCGTTGGCATTCTCACTTGTGCTTGCGCACCTTTGGGTACCTGCTTGCACGTTGTTTCTAGAATTTGTCTCCCCACCGGCTCGCTGGTGCAGGAAGACTCACATCGCAGCCTGAGCGTTCCACCTCGAGCCAAGACGACCATGATGAGGCACGAGGATCTCGAGAAGCACAGGGCTGACTATGTGCCTCGGTAGAAAGTAGAGGGTCTCAGCATGTCTCAGCACCAAAACCGCGGCAAATCCGGAAAAGGGAACATAACAGGAGCATGTGTTTTTGCCAAAGCGACGCAGCTTCGAGATGCTTTGAGAGCGTGTTCAGCAAGGAATGCTGGTGCTGGATGCATTTGTCTATTTTCGATCAGAAGCTGGGGTTGTTCTGCGTGCAGTCTTCCCCCTCAAGGACTGTATAAGGTCTCACAGGCCCCCCACGAACATTATTTCAACTTCAAGGGTGTTCTAGATAAACTTGGTCCTTGAAAAGTGAAGGGTTCTGAGCGAGACTCCTTGATGATTCTCGTGGCACCTCAAAGCAATGTACAGAGGGTTCTAATTACTCAGACCCAGGTTTCGTGCTTCATTCCTTCCTTCCTTCCTTCCTTCCTTCCTTCCTTCATTCATTCATTCATTCATTCATTCATTCATTCATTCATTCGAGAGAGAGAGAGAGAGCAAAAGTAGATCCACGTACCTGTCACTGTCACATGGAGTTTTAGCAGGCTACTGGTGGGAAACTACGGGATCTGAGACGCATGAACAAGCGATGTGTGACCAGTTTCCACCAGCTCAGATTGACACTGCACCATCCAGCGGGTGTCCTGCCTGGGCTACCCTACTTGGGAGAGACCTACTACAGTATTTTTTCTTCGCTCATCTTCGCTCCATTCCCAAGGCGACTTCGTTGTTGGCTCGAGCAGCCGAAACCTTCTCTTGGCCTGTGACCCAGACGGAGACTCTGGGTAGCCACGGGCATCCTGAGATTTGCGGCAATCCCTGCATCCGCGGCTTGGACTGATTTTGACTGCATGGGAATCCGGGAGAGTGCAGTACAATATGGGCGAGATCAACAAATGGGAAGGCTTCGGGTTTAGACCCCTGCGTTTCGGTGGAAAAGGTGCAATGCTATGGAGGCTTCCATGGAAGCTCTCTCTCAGGTTTCCAGAAAAGGCAGGCGAACCCTTCACCCAGAATTCAGGTCGAGCACTCCATCACGACCCACCAGTTGGATGGGCCGGTTGGCTGGGCTGCTGTCTAGAGACCCCGAAAGCAGTGTTCGAGGATGTTCGAGGCTAGGGACCTTAGCCTTGGCGCCGGCATCTCAAGGCCTATAAGTGTTCCTTTCTAGATGAAACGAGATGTAGAGAGCTAGCGAGCTACCATCCAAAACAAGGTGGCCACGAGCTACCAGTCCCTGTCCACACCGAGCTCAGGATTCTTTTACGGGAACTGCCAGAAGGTGGGGTTTTTGTGTTTGGCATAGCCATGGTGAATGCCAGGCCGCCATCATGGATCCTCAAACGGTTATGTACAAATTGAATAATATATGAATGTAATATATATATATATACATACATACATACATACATACATACATGCACACATGCACACATGCACACATGCATACATGCATACATGCATACATGCATGCATCCATACATCCATACATCTATACATCCGTACATCTTTACATCCATCCATCCATCCATCCATCCATACATACATACATACATACATACATACATACATAAAGATATGCACATATATATATATATCAGACAGCATAAATTATTCTATATACATTCAGGATAACTCATATGGTTGAACGCCCCCGTAAGTAAAGGTGAAGTCTCAGTTTTGTCCAACCCGTGCAGCTCCGGCTCAAAGGGCATGTGGGCAGAAGAAAACCTTCTTCCTGGGCTAGGGCTGCTCCTGGTGTGGCGGAGCAGTCCCCTGGGAGATAAGGATCCGGGAGAGATCCTTTAAGCATGAGTTTTCGATTTCGTCTTACGTTTTTTTCGACTAACTGGGTCTTGCGAAGAAAAGGGATTGGACTTGTGAGCCTGAGCCTTTGGTTGAACGCCCCCGTAACTAAAGGTGAAGTCTCAGTTTTGTCCAACCCGTGCAGCTCCGGCTCAAAGGCCCTCCCCACCCCCCCCCAAAGTTGGTCAGGGGAAAGAGCTCCAAACACTCCAAGAAGAGACCCAAAAAGATCGTGAGGTGCGATCGCTGGACTTTTAAGACCAGGCTATGAGGTCTTTTCTCTCCCTGGTGTGGCGGGAGGGAGAGACATAGCCAGAAGAAAACCTTCTTCCTGGGCTAGGGGCTGCTCCTGGTGTGGCAGAGCAGTCCCCTAGGGGAAGATAAGGATCCGGGAGAGATCCTTTAAGCATGAGTTTTCGATTTCGTTTTACGTGTTTTCGACTATCTGGGTCTTGCGAAGAAAAGGCATTGGACTTGTGAGCCTGAGCCTTTTATATAGTATTATACACATATACTGCTTTATGCAGTCCAAAGTTGGCAAGAAAGCTGGCCAAAGTGTTCATGGAGCTTGCCATTGCTTGTTGATTCCTTGCCATTGCAGGGTGTGGACTGCCAGTTCTGCCATTTGAAGCACGAGACTTGGCGGAGTTGGAGCACTCTCCGCCACTCCATGTATTAAAGATGCCTATTCAACTGGACTCTTGAACCAGCAAAACAACAACATAGAGTTTTTGGCGGGATCGGTGCTCTTAGTGCTCTTGTCATAAGCCTTTGGCCTGTTTCAGCCAAGTCCAGGTTTCTTTCCGGTCCAATTGTCGATTCCCACACCAACAAACACCGCAAAAGCCCGCGGGTTTTCTGTGCTTTTCTGAAGCAAAGGAGACCACCAAGAAGAAGCTGGACAAAACACAACGGCTGTGCTTCGAGTCCTTGTCCGAGGCGCAGGTGGGGCCCTTTCTTGGACCACGCACGTGGCGCACGTGGCGATAGCAGGATAGCCGGTGAAGGGGAGGGCGTTGGTGAAGGGATGAACGTTTGGCGAAGAAAGCAGACGCGAATGAAACCGAAAGAATTCCTTTTCAGGATCCACCACACCAGCTTCTTCAGTTGGCGACCTTTTTGGAGTCCCAGGCCTGTTGGTGACCTCAGTTCCCAGGGGATCAAACTCGATCACGAACTGAAGACCGATCCACTGCCACTGAACCTGGGAACGGAGACGCAGAGACGGAGCAATTCTGGAAGAAGTCGCCTTCGCCCTGGCGAAGCCAACCTGAGAGTTGTTCCCAATGTTTGAGTCGTCATCTGAAAAGCGGCTGCTCGCCTCCTGTAAGCGGCTTATCCCAGGCACACTTGAATGACTTTGGACTGAAGGTGCATGCGGAACTCCAAATGCATCACCCCATCTGGCACGTGTTAAGTTAAAGTTAGGTTCCTTTATCTTCCTGTTAGCCTTGTATCATCCACTGAATTCGCTGGGTGTGGGTTGAACGCCTAACAAGCACATTAGGTGAAGCTTTGTCATCCTGTGTCACCTCCCTCGGGTGTTGTTATGTTTATGTGAGGAGGGATACTGTACATCTTTTTGGATGTAAAACTGCGGTAAAAGGCTACCGACCTGTGAAAAACAATTCTGATTCCCAGACATGTGCCACCTGGGCAAAAACCTTATAATAGCAATAAAACACTTGATCATATTATTCCGTGATTTCTCATTCTGAAGCGTCACTCGGTCTCTCTCTCTCTCTCTTGTGTGATCCTGAAGTAGCATATTGATTCTATATATATATATATACATACACCTATATCTTCCAAACAGGGCTCTGATTTCTGGACACGATTGGCCGCCCATGCTGCTGCAGACACTGTCAATGCTGCTCAACCACATGGAGATGCGATGCCGGAAGCAAAATCTCACCGCACAGATGAGCCTGGTCTTGGCCTGCATGCGCAGGCGTTTGAAGGCACTTCCAAAGCACGAGCATGTGACACCTGCCGCTTGGCTTTTCAAGCAGTTTGGGCAGAAGGTATGGAGAGGGACCATATTCCTGACAACTGGTCGTCTTGACTTTGGGAAAGGTGAGACAAGAAGGCCCAGATCCCATCCTTGCCACTGGTGAAAAGATGTGAAGATCGAACATCTTACCCGAGCTTCTTCAGTTCGGCTTACCTTTTTTGGAGTTTGTGGCCAGGCCAGTCCCTAAACCTAAAGGCCAGTCCCCAAACGCCCGGCCAGGCCGTGACCCTTTTTAATAGGCGAAGACGAACTGAAGAAGACCATGAGGAAGATGACCCCGTTGCGGCCTCCCCAGCGACCCACTTTTCGTTGCAGAAGTGGATGAATGTGTTGGGAGGGCTGGATCATGAAATGATTATTCAAGACGATTTCTTCCTATAAGTTGATGACCTCACGACCATGAGCTGACCATAGCTGGGACAAAGATGTTATGATTATTCTAGATTTCCGAGTTTAGGAGTGTTTCTTTGAGCAGATCTGGGATGCCGCCACAAAGAGTTCGACCGCCTGCACCAATTGGTGCCAGTACTCCATGGGACTGGCATATTTACCTTGGGGAAACAACATATTTGCCCACAACTCGGAATAGTGGCATGTTTTATTTCAGGGGAGCCAACAATTCCTCAGATCCGTGCCCTTTTTGAGGAGATGGTGGCAATTTTATCAAAGATCTTCAAGAAGCGGCCCAGCTATGAAGGGGCAGGTTGAGCTGCCCACTGCTGCTTTTTAGAGTTTCACAGACCAGATGGCCATTATTTGTTCTCCATGGTTTTGGGTATAGCACTGATAGGGAGGTTGACTTCTTTGACAGCTGGTGACCCGTTGGTGGTTCTCCTTCTTTGCGTGGTTGCTGCTTGGTTTTATATGTTTGTTCGACGTGCCAGGCTTTTGTTTCGTACCAGACTTCGTCGGTTTTCCATCAAATCACATCCGTGGGTCATCTCCGGTTTCTGCAACATATGGGCGGGGGCCCAGAGCGTTGGGCTTGTACGGGCAGGGTACCTCTACAAGAATTCAACCAGGGATAGGGTGCAGATTGTGTCAAGAACCAGGGAGCAGCCCGAGAAGCTACGTGCACCCACTTGACAGCAGACTAAAGACCACTGAACAATTGGGAGTGACACTGGTGCTGGGTTGCACATGAATTTCCCACAGCCCAACGTGGGCTGATGAAATAACCCCGCGCTCTGCAGTCTAGTATTGGCCTGCACCTTAACACCACTCTAATGCATTGCTGGCTCAGAAAACGATAAGAGTAAACAAAAGCCATAACCGGCTTATGCATGTAGATGTTCATGAACCCTGAAGATGGCAATCTGCACAGGCCTCCAAAACGGTAACAAATATGATAGCAAAATATGACAAACATGCAAGCGTTTGGGAGGATACCCATATGACCGGTTTGAGCATCACCTTTTGAAGGACATTGAAAGGACATGAATGCAACATGAAAGGAACATGAAAGGGAACGAATGCGACATGAAAGGGAATTATTGCAACATGAAAGGACATGAAAGGAAAAGATTACATCTGTTGATTTTCGACCAAGGATGCTTTCACACCCACGGAAAGCTGGAAAATTCAGATGTCTAGTACATGGAGCCCACCGCCTGAGAAAACGATAAGAGTAAAAAACATGATAGCATGACTTCGGGACATTGCAATTGATGCGGCTTTTTTGCACTACCGCACGTCGACCTGCAATGTGAGAGGTTACGGCCCTGAGGTCATCGGGAAAGTACCTGACCTGGACCATGATTTCCGGCGTTCTTTTCATCCGTACATGACACCATCCCTGGCCCTAGACGACTTGAGGCTCACCCTGGGGCGCTTGCTGGACCTCATTCGGTCAAGCCGCAATGTCCCCAACGCCTTTAAAGCTGAGCTTTTGGCCGTTGCGGCGCTCGCGGTGGGACGGCCCATCCCTGCGGGCGATGAAGCAACGAGCGAGAACTCGCTGTGAGAACTGCGGGGGGTTGAAGGCGCCGGAGCACGGGGGGGTTGTTATTATGGGTTACAGATGATTACAGTATTGCATTTGGTATAATTGGGGTGTTTTGATGCCCATTTTCTATCATTTTCTACATTTTTGTGTTTTTGAAGTTCGGATGTTACTTTCACATGTTTATCCTTTTCCTACCCAAAAGGACGTGGGTCACTTCTGTGGAGGATTAGGGACACCCCGCTAAGAACGAACAGCTGGAACAAGGAACACCTTTATTTTTCAGGGAAACTAAGGGAGTCAGCTATTGAATCCTTGGCCTACTTGTTCGAAGTGATAGGACTAAGGTGGCTGCCGTTCTATCCGGAACCCTAGCCGAGCCTTTTGTTTGAGATACGAGTCTATTTATGATCTTCAGCGATTGAAGACTCACAGGGAGAGGAGAATCCTGGTGACTTTGATACGTTTGATAGGATTGGATCCATAGCCTCCGTGTCTGCCATCGTTTGCCTATATTTTAGTCCTCCGGGAGCCTCCGGGCCAGTGGTTGCCTTACTGGGAATATTTGGGAAGTGGATCCATTAGGAATCATGATCCATTTGGAACAGCGGGGAAATGGGGTCTCCAAGCATGGCAGGGCTTCGAAAGGCCTGACTACGCCCAAGAGATTGTATATAGGATTTCTATAGGTAATCAGCTCAGAGTCAAGTAGCGCAGAATAGAAATGGGCATGTATGTATGAGCTCATGAGTGTAGATGTTATTTGCCTTCAACATTTGCAATGATTACATATATACACACGATTGTATATATATATACATACAAACATCGTGTCATTCATTTGCTGGAATGCTCGAAACTTTGACAGACGATAGCAGATTCACCAAAAAACGATGCAGTAGCGGCACATCTTGTACATACCTCATGTGTTGCTGAGAGTTGCAACTGAAACGGCCTGGCATGGTCCGGGGTCACCAAACTACAATATCCCTTCTGGTGCACAGAAGCAATTTAGAAAGCAATTTCTTGATATATCATTCGTCATTGTTAAATCATCGAACATATTCTGTTGACAGACCAATGGTTTGAAGCCTTTGCACTGGCTGGGCGCATTGACTGCCCCCTTGGCAAATCATGGGGTTCTTCGATCTCTTTGGGGAGAACCAGACCGAGCACGAAGGCGCTTGGCGCGCTGCAGTGCAGCTGAAAACGCGGCCCCACACAGATCTCGTGCACAGAGACGGTGCAGGCTGATAGATTTGAGGCCCCCAAGGTTCTGGGGGATGGCAGATTGGCCAGTCCTTGTTCTGGAAGCCTGCACCTTGGCCTGTCGCTGTGCTTTGTGGTGCAGTACCTGGATCGCAGAAGAGCGCGAGAGAAGGTAGGCCGAGTATGGGCTGATCATTTGTCCTAATCAACACAAGACATACAACAGATCCCCGCCGTTGAGCTGGGGGTACTCAAGGGGGGCCTTTCTTTGGCTGATCGGGGAGAGGAGAATGTTGGCTCCCCCGAACTAGAGAACAAACATGGACATCAACGAAAATCGATAGATCGTCTTTTTGGATCCGTTTTTGGGCAGGTTTCATACCATTATGTTGTGCGAGGGGATGAATGTCAAGAGTGATCTATGTGGTAATTGTATTTCTTCCTCATGATTCCTTGACCTCGACTTGCTTTTCTCTCCAAGGGCTCCTGGCCAAAACCATTTTTTCCGGCGCATTGCGCGCCACCACTGATCTTTGAACTGGCTAAAAGCCAAAACTCCGACGAACCTGCGCAGTGGTGCCTCCTTCACCCTAGTGCCCCAGGCCACCGGTCTTCTCAGGCTGTGCAGATGATGAAGCAAAGGACCCAGGGAACGATGTAGATCGAAGTTGCTTTCCCAGTTTTGAGACGAGAAAGTAAAGCAACCCCGTGCTAGGGAGATATATATATATTTGTTTTATGTGTGTGTGTGTTTCACGTTTTTCATGTTTTGTCCAGGACATGCTTCATTCACTATGAACCAACAAGGGATTTTACAGATATATTGCAAATACACACATACACGAGTGTGTATTGCTGCAACAGGTGCTTCATTTGATGTTCAGCAGCGAAGACACGGCACACCACCAGGTTACGACACAATAACAAGACGATAAGAAACACCATAAGATCCAGGACCTCACTTCTCTCCTGGTCAAGGTGTTGCACTCTTTCACAAGGAAGTCTGGCCAGCAAGTGGGATTCACAACTTGCACAACAAGGATCTTGCCATGGGCTTCCGGCTTCACACTGCGCCAGTCCCAGACCAAACAGATGTTAGCAAGAGCATTTTGTTGCCCTGAGGACCAGTTGCTCATCAGAGTTCCACACCGACCGGTCTCCAAAAGGAAACATTTCACGAGTCTCACAAGGCTCAAAGAATTTCTTCATCTTCTCGAATATGGCAGTGTGACTGTGAAGACTGCCACTTACTTGCAAAAGATCAGCGAAGTAGAGCGCAGCCATGGTTCTGGTTCAAAGTTTCCTTGACATAGCAGCACATGTGGCTGGAGAGGCAGCACTTGTCGCAGCCCATCGCTTCCAAGGCGAAAAGCAATCAGCAGTCGTGGTTTCTTGGCCACCGCCCGCCGCTTGGTCCTTCCCTTTTGCCAACTAGGGCACAGCTGGTCGGCACTGGCTTTGCCAGCGCCCTATGTTGCAAGACAGAGGACCAAAAGTGAGCAAGTAAAATACAGTGGTGTTTCGGGGCAATTCTGCCATGAGATGAACTGGAGAACTGGACTAGGGCTTTGAGGTTTCTCATCCTCATCACGCAGCTTCAGCCGCACAGCAGGCTCCAAGCAGAACTCTGACTCTTTCACTACCAAAAGCTTTCCACCAAAAATTCAACATACGATCGGAGCTGCACATGTTTTATAGCTGGCTTGCAGCCAGTTTACAACTGCAGAGACAGCTATTAGATTTGCATGTTTGATCCGGTTGTGTACGTGCCTTGGGGGCTCCGATCGCAAGTTCTCTCCTTGCAGCAAGCACCCTAAGTCATGGATCGCAGTACGTTTGAGAACAATCTAATGCGCAGCTTATAACTCTGTTCGGAGCCTATAAATTCATTTTACTTAGAGCCCTAGCTTTTCGAACGTGAGTCAATGTTGAAACCGTAATGTCCATAAGAACATGTGACCAACTATGTGTTTGGCCTTGTCCAAGACAGAACAGTTTTGTGGAGTACATACATCATCTACAGTATCAGCTACTTTTGAATATCGGGGTTATTTTGCTTAGCTGAGCATGCCAGGTGCTGAGCCTCTTTGTGGGAGCACATTTGTTTGACGGTTCTTTACTTGAGCATGCAAGATGGAAGTTCTAAACTGTGGCAAGTTTTCTCGAAGGGGGTTGAAGGCGCTTTCTAAAGAAGGTTAGTGTTGAAATGTTTCTGTGATGCAAAACGACACAGAACCAGTCGAGGCACAGAGTGATGGCGCAAGGAGACTGTGCAAGGCTGAGAAGATTCTTGAAAGGACTTATGGTTCTAACAAGTGATGTTCTGACAATACATCATTCCGTTTCAATTTTCAATCTTGTCTAGAAAGCATTCTCAGGAGGCAGCGCCGCATCAATGCCTTGATGGACATGCAGGGCTCAGTGAGAGATGCCGCCAGCTATTCTTGATCTTCAAGCAAAGGCAGAGAAAGAGGAAGCAGCAGCTCCTTTACTTGGTTCCGTGTGCTGATTGTCATGTGAAGCTGTCTGGTCTTGTGAATGAAATACAAGCATGATTGGTTCATGATTTTGTTATATATTGTTTTCGCTTTCAGAACTTGTGGTCCATTTGTGATGCACTGCAGATTCACCATAGGACGCACCAACAGGTTCATGAACTTTCAACTAAAGTTAAATAATGAGCTTCTGATGCACCTGTGAGAAGCGCATCAAGAGTGCACAGAAGTGCAGCAAAAGTGTACATGAATGGAAGCTTTTTACTACTTTCAGTCTTGGCTTGTGTATGTACAAGTTCTCTACTTGAGCATGGCCTTACTTGAGCGAAGATTTTACTTGACAACGGTCCTTACTGGAGTTCGTGGTCTTTTCTTGAGAAAGGTCTCTACTCGAGTTCAGGTCCTTTACTTGCGAAAGGCCGAGAACTTGACTTCATATACTTAAGTTCATGTTCTCTATGCGAGAGAGGTCCTTACTTCTTGAGAACAAGTACTTTACTCCGGGACTGCGGGAGACTCTGTACTCTGTACTTCAGTATAAGCTCACTACTTGGGCGTAGTTTCTTCACTTGAGAATGGCCTGGCAACCTTTGCACTGATGTTTGAAGAAAGTGTACATGCTTGCATCTATCTTCTACCCAAACCTCTGTCTTTCAAACTGAGTGCGCCTATTTTCTGAAGGATTTGCAAGTTGAGTGCATTGCAGCTGCTTTGAAGTGCAGCAACCAGCAAGAGCTCTGGTACTGCTTCCTGATATCTCTTTTCAAGTTTGACCATCCCACGCTGAGCTACGTTTTCAATAAGAGGAAACAATTACAGCAGAGTTGCCTTCCACGCAGCAAACGGTGCACTTGTACAGGCACTTGTTGCAGCAACTCGAAACGGCTTGGTAAGCTGTCCGCACTCTGCTGAAACTTTCCTGGTCTTGGCTCAATTCATACCGCAATGTGTGTACTTGGGCATGTGAAGCAGTAATACTCGAGCAAGTTTCAGGAACTAGATGTTTGCAGGAAACGAAAAAATTAACAAGCGTAAGTGCCAAGGCCAATGAAAACCACATTCACACCCAACCTAAATCGATTTTACCTCTACCGGCCTGCCTACGTTTTTGCAACCTAAATCCGTCCTTGACAATAGATTTTAAAAACTATTGAACGTATGAATATACTCACTTTAAAGGACTTGGACAAGTTTGACCCTTCAAATCCAAGCTTCGTCTTGGGCTTTGTAGGCGCAAGTGCACCGGTAGGGCCACCGCCAACCTTGCAGGAGTCCCTGTGCAGGAGTCGGGGATCTCCAGTTTGTGGGCGAATGTGG